AGAGTGTAGCATCAGGCCCCTGTGAAGGTGCTGTCTCTCTTTCTCTCTGTCTCTGTCTCTCTCATGCATGGAAGAAAGAAAAAGACTTTAAAAATATAATTTTGTTGGGGCCAGCAGGTGGCATGATGGCTAAGGGCTCTAGATTCCCACATAGTGGACTGTGGTTTGAGTCCCAGACCTGGCTGTTTACTTTCTCACTATCCTTTTCTCCCTCTGTCCCTCTCTGGTCAAATATACATAAATAAATATATAGAAAGTTAAATAAAATAATTCTTTAAAAATCTTTTAAAAATTATTTAGCTTTTTAATATTTATTTTTATATAACTCTGATATTTTTATAGGTTTTGCCATAGTATGTGAGTATTCATTAGAGAAGGACAGAGAGAGGACATGTGAGAAATCACCCCCTCCACAGAGGATGGCAACATCACAATTCCTTCTTCTTCATTTTCCTGGGATTTGTGGCCAGTGTGATTTTCAAGTCACCAGGTCAGGAACTAGAACTGCAGTTGACCATGTGGGAGTCCAGCCCCTTAGCCATCACACCATCTGCTGGCCCCTACTATAATCTTTTCTTTCTGTACATCAGTATCTTTCTAGTCTTTTGCCATTGAGCATTCACATGATTTATAGATGAAAAAAATGAAATTAAATACTAAATAATAAGCAAGAGTCAGAAACTTAAAATGTTTTTCTTTGTAACTGAAAATGTTAAATTATATTTTTGAAATAGACACATATGCTTATATCTGTGTATATATACCTACATTTATGTTTATATCTATTTAGTTATCAATTGTGGGGAAAAGGTAGTAGAAACTTTTGACTGCTCTGCCTGTAACTAGTCACAAATCCTGATATATATATTCATATGATTCATAGTTAGTAGAGTTGAGACTAGAATTCAGGTCTTCAAGCTCATGAAAGAAAGGAAGATAATATGTAAATTCCATCAGGGATTAAAATTTCTTTTTATATTGTTTAACCTTCCAAAAGATTCTAAGTAGACTAACTTTCTCATTTAACTGATGAACATGTTTATGTTGGAGAGCACACACAGAGTTTAATGCTGTTCTTAAGATATAACTGCATTTCTGACTACAAGGCATTCGCCTTTTCCACTACCCTACCTTGCCTACTTGATTTATTGTGTTATAAGCTATACTTTAATTAATGATGACCAACTTACCCAAGCTTTGCCTAGCATAAGTGCATATAATCCAGGCTACTGGCAAAATGGTCTATAATGGTTTCGTTATCAAGCATATATTTGTTTGGAATATGATGTTCTTCCATCCCCTAAGAGTCTATTCTTGCATTGAACTATTTTTTAACATAACATATAAACAATATAATGAGGTCTCATAGGAAAAGTAGTTAACTTAAAGAGTTAGTCTTTAGAGAATAAAAATGACTTCCAGGACAGTAGAATCTTGTATTCAATCAGTGACATGGGTGGCATTAGTACTTCTATCTTTTTTTCTTTTTCTTTTTCCTTAGTGGTTTTTGCCATAGGTTGTGTGTACTCACTGGGGGAGAGAGAGAGAGAGACAAAGACAGTGAAAGGGAAAATAAGAAATCACCCCCTACGGGTGATTGCACTGCAATCCTTTCTCCTCCATTGTCCTACTGGGATCTTGGGACTGCACACACCCATACCTGGCATGATTTTCAAGCTACCAGATTGGTGACTTGGACTATGTTGACCATGTAGAAGTCCAGTGATGTAGCTACTATGCCATCTGTTGGCCCCAGTACTTCTCTTTTTAATTTTTTTAAAAAAGAATTGTGTATTTTATTTTATTTATTTATTATTATTACTTAGTTTGACTAGAGAAAGAGATAAAGGGAGAATGAGAAAGGAAGGCAGCAGATCTGGAACTTGAACCATGCTCAGCCATGTGGGAGTCCAGCACCTTAACCACTGTGCCAACTGCTGGTGTAATACTTCTCTTTAATAAAGACAATTTGTTAAGTGTACAGACATAGGACACTTGTATATTGTCATACATTTTTCTCAAGAAATTAGGAAAATAGAGGGAACCAGCAGTTAGCGTAATGGCTATGTCGCTGGACTCCCACGTAGTCTACCGCGGTTCGTGTCCCGAACCCGGTGGCTTAAAACTCACGCCGGGCGCGTGTGCGTGCGTGCCCAAGATCCCGAGAGGAGAATGGAGGAGAAAGGATTGCGGCATGACCATCCCCCCTGGGGGGTGATTTCTCGCTTTCTGTCTCTATGTCTCTCTCTGTCTGTCTGGCGAGCGCATGCGCCCTACAGTGAAAATCTCTCAAAAAAAAAGAAAAAAAAGAAATTAGGAAAATAGGGAAAATATTTAGATTATGCAAAGATGCATGGAATATCGTTTTCACATGAAATATTGTTAATACAGCCTTGGAATTCTGAAATGGGAATCAGGGGGAAAAGGTAATAGAAACCTTTAACTGCTCTGCCTGTAACTAGTCACATACCCTGATACATATTTTTTCATTCTTTATTTAAGAAATAAGAAAATTTACATAAATTCCAATGAACCAGAAAATTATTTTCTATTTATGAAATGAAAGGAGTTTAAATTCTTAGTTACTTTTATACCTGAAATCATATTTTCAGTGAACATTTTTAGAAAATGTCATTATACAGCTAACACACATGTAAAGATTGCATGTTATGACAAAAGAATTCTGACATTCTTTTAGTGGGGAAAATAAAATATACCATAAAGAAAAGTTCACTTTTATTTATTCAGATGGCTTTTTAAATTTTAGGAACATAAAAGCTTCATTTCTATCAATGACAACTTTCTTCAGGGCGTCTTTCACATCCTTGTTCCGAAGGCTGTAGATCAAGGGGTTCAACATGGGGATAATCACTGTATAAAAGACGGAAGCCATCTTATCTGTGTCAAGAGAATGGTTAGAGCTGGGCTGTAAGTACATAAAGATCAGGGTCCCATAGAATATGGTGACAGCCAACACATGGGAACCACATGTGGAGAAAGCCTTGCGTCTTCCCGCAGCTGAGCGCATCCTCAGGATGGCAGAGATAATGAACAAGTAGGAGACAAAGACTATAAGAAGAGAGGAAATGAACATGATACCAGCACAGGCAAAGATCCACAGCTGTTTGGAGCGAGTGTCTGAGCATGATAGCCTGAGCAGAGGCATGTCATCACAATAGAAATGATTGATGATGTTGGAGTGGCAATAGCAGAGGCGGAAGGTGAGAATGGTATGAAACAGTGCCACCAAGATACTGTAACCATAGGGGGCAGCTACGAGTTGAATGCATATTCCTGGGGACATTACGACCATATAAAGGAGAGGGTTACAGATGGCCACGTATCTGTCATAGGCCATAGAAGCCAGTAGCAAGCATTCAGCTGTCATGAAGGCCAGAAAACAGCCTAACTGAGTAGCACATGCATCAAAGGAAATAGTATTTTGTTTGTACAAGAAATTCCCAAGCATTTTGGGTGTGATAACAGAAGAGTAACAGAAATCAACGAAAGCCAGATTGCTTAGGAAAAAGTACATTGGTGTGTTCAATCTTGCATCTGTTCTAATGACTAAGATCAAACCCAAGTTGCCTACTACTGTGAAAAGGTAGATAGACAAGAATACCACAAAGAGGGGCATCTTCAACTCCTGACGATCCGTGAGGCCCACGAGAATAAACTCTGTCACCTGGGTGCAATTGATCTGAGCCATGTCTCCTTAGGGAGTCTGGATGAGAGAGGAGAGTTTAATCAATTTAACCCATGTCAGCAATTCTTTTTAATACCTTAATGTCCTGAAAAACAATGTTAGTGCTAACATAAAAGTCATAATTTAATATTAAAATTATCAGCACACTTGGAGTCTGGGGATAAAAAGAAGAGCAAAATTTTTGTGGGAAACACACATCTATCTCCTCCCAAGTCGACTTTGTGTATAAAGTTAAGAGCAGTAAGATAGGAGTCAGTCCACATTGGCTCAGTCTCTCTTCAAAGCTCTGTGTGTCACATTATTTAAAATACATCATCTTTTAAATATTCGAAACAACTGTATTATTGCAAGATGTTGACATTAATAGCATAAAGGAAAGTGAATACTCTACTGTCATGTCACTCTGACAGATCTGCTGTCATACCTTTGCCACACAAACTAGATGCAATGGTGGCATATACAGAATTCTTTACTCTTTTATTCTACATTCAGGACTAGCATAAAGCAGACACAGTAGATTTCTACGAAATCTTTATAATCGTGTTAGTCATACAAATACTGAAAAGGTGTAACTTTAGGAAAAACACACTAATATGCTTCATAGTATTTATTTACTTCATTTCTTATGTCCATTTTTACAAATGAGGGAGCACATAGCACTTAAAAACCTGAGAAAAGTTCAGACAGCTGAAATTCAAATCTGCATTCATCTGACTCAGGAGCCAGTGTACCTCACTGTTACGTTCTCAGTATTCCAAAATTATTACATCATTACACGCCTAAGTTGCTCAGTATAGTGTTTCTTGATACGGAATTACAGAAACATCTCTATATGTAAAGCATGAATTCACCCGATCCAATGCAATGACTATTTAAGTTTTCCAAATATTTGGCTTAGTTAAAATGAAAGTATAATTTGTTTTCTAATAATTTATATCACTTTGTATGGGCCCTACCACTTTACCATTTATTCTAATACAATATTCTATATTGTATTTGTTTATGTTAATTCTTATGTCACTTCTATTAAGTCATTTGTATCCCATAAAGTGGAACATTTTCATATGTTTTACCTACCTACTCATTTGTACTTTGTTCTTAATTGAAATCTACACATCCAAGTAAAGTTTGGTTAAGGATGGTATATTGCACATGGAGTCAGGATGACTTAGTCTGTCTATCTCTCACCTCCTGTCTTATCATGTTTGAAGGCCACAAGGCAAACAGTTTATGTTATTAGTTGTACTGTGCTTGAACACTTGTTGTGTAATCACTTTGTTCTTTTACACCATTGAATGTAACATGCATGTGTGTGTTGACAATCTTTTTGTTTGTTGTTTTATTTTTTTCTTCTTCTTTTTTTATTTTATTTTATTTTATTTATTTATTTATTTATTTATTTATTTATTTGTTTTTCCATAGGATGTATGTGCTTATCAGAGAGGAGAAAGACAAAGAAAAACATATAGAGGGAAAGTGAGAAATCACCCCTCAGGAAGGATGACCACCCTGCAATCTCTTCTCTTCCTTTCTCCTCTCAAGTTCTTGCGCAGGCATACCTGGTGTGATTTTTCAAGCCATGGAGTCTAGGACTCAGACTGCAATTAGCCATGTGAGAATGTAGCCACTGTAACAATTTGGTTTTGGCAATGAGCCACTATTGTCTTGGTCAGCTGGCTAGCCTTTCTCTGCTCAGCATTGGTTCTGCTAGCTCAGACCTGGTGGCCCTGGCTCCACTCCGCCTTGGCTTGGGTCAGCTCAGCACCACACACTATGAGTTCTAAGAGGGAGGAAACACTCTGTAAGTGCTACTAGAGCTTTGTGAGCTTCCCTTGAGCTTAGCAGTAAACAGCATAACATCAGTGCTTTTTCTCAACTCCCTTCATCTCTGTTCAACACATCCTTCAGAGGAGGAAAGAATCTCATAAAAGATGGGATAAATTATATGAAGAATCTTGCTACTAAATCCCATAATGTTATAATATTGTGTGGCCTAGCCTCTGTGGTGTAGTGGGTAGCATACAGAACTGCAGTGGTGGAAATCACATTGCCTACCATAGGACCAGGTCCACTGCCTGGTCAACCTGAACCCGTGCTGGACATTTGCACCCAGGATCCTGACAAGCTGGAAGGCTGGGGGACGTGTGATCACAACGTGATCAGACCTGCTTAAGAGTACATTTCTCACACACATGTGTATTTTCTAACATGAATAAAATAAAATGTAAAAATTAATGTTATTATATTTTTTCTCTATGAAGCTTTTTAATTAAAAAACAAACTTTTCTGTACATATTGAAAATTAGACTTGTATAAATACACAAATAAAATAAGGATTCATTTATTATTTTTCTTTTTTTTGTAATTCATTATAGAAAGTATGTGCACATGCAACTAAAAGTGAGAGTGAGATGAGAGAGAGAGAAGCACTCAGACTGGGATCTGGTCACTGAGACCCACTTCCTCTGGACCTCCACCTCCTCAGGATCTCAGGTACCTGTGTGCATACCTAGTGCATCAGGTCAGCTGGACTGGGGAACTGAATCCACCTTTATCCAGTGGCTTCAGCACTACAGTCCTTATATGCTATGAACTTCACCACTTACACTGAGTCATCTACCTTTCTTTTCAATGGATATATTTTATATAGGCTCTGATATTGCTGCATTTCTTGCTAAAGTTATCTCAAAATAATTTTGTACTGTTTTAATTGAAGATGTTTAGTAAGTGACTATTATGGGACCAGCAGTTGGTGTAATGACTGTGTCACTGGACTCCCATGTGGTTGACCACAGTTCGAGTCCTGGACCTGGTGGCTTAAACTCACTCCGGGTGCGTGTGCGTGTGTGCCGAAGATTGTGAGAGGAGAATGGAAGAGAACAGACTGCAGCATGGCCATCACCCCAGGGGGAGATTTCTCACTTTCTATCTCTCCATCCCTCTTTGTCTTTCTGGTGAGCGCATGCGCCCTATAGCAAAAACCTCTCTCAAATAAATAAATAAATAAATAAATAAATGACTATCTTGTTGTAAGTAATTACTTTCCAAGTATATTAATTGACTTACAGTTTATACTAAGAATATGTTATTTTCATCCTGGGACCCTGACATACATATATTATGTGTGTGTATATATAATACATATGTATAAAAATTGTATATATTTAAATAAATATGTATTGTATATATATATATAAATGCTGTATATATATTTATATATGTACAAATTTTACATATGACATATATATTTAGCATATAATATATAGTAAATATAATATATACAAATATTATTTTTATGTTCAGTCTCATACAGCCTAATTTTTGTATAAATAACTTAAATACATTTTATTTTTAAGAAAAGGACAGAAGTTTTTCAAAAATGGTGGACATAGAAATCCAAAATATAAAGGTTTGAGCATGCATGAGTGCATAATTCTATACCTTTCTAAAAGCTGATAGTCTTGATTATTGTTGCAGCTTACTGTTACATATTATAGGTAGAATATCAAAATTTTAAAAAGCATAGTTTGTGTTACTACAAATATATTAGCTCCATTTTGAAATACTTAAGCAACTATTTGTTTGGAAATTTAGCTTCCATGACTGGAGAGAACAGGAGAAGCTGCAGTGTTTAGGAGTCCTAAGAAGTTCAGTATGCCATTTTATTTTGTCTCTAAGGAAGATAATGCATTTTATTTGAAAACATATATGACCTTTTGCAATACAGCCCATTCAAATTCTAGCCACATCACTTCTCTCTAACAACCAACACAGTAATCTAATTAGAATCTTATTTTACAGTTCCCAAGTGTAATATATACTACGTGCTTTCTTCATTTTATATGTGCTTTTCCTCACACTCAGCTCCACTAGGTGAATAGTGAGTGGAGAGCAGGAGGAAAAACTGCTCTTTATCCTTTATGACCTTCCCAATTTCTACCTCCTTGCTGTGTTGTCATCTTTCACTTTATATTCTAAAAGTATTCTAAGCAAAGCTCATTTATGAATCATCTCATGTGTATGGCAGCCACCTATTTCTGTATTTCTTTTATTGATATAATATAGACTCCATGTGTGGAAGCTAATACTTCTTCATTCATTTCCCAGTGTAGGTTCTTCCAGATGATTGGTAATGGGGAATTAAAGATTAATTTTTATAATCATATTTCTACATGTATTCTTTTTATTCGTAATTTATGTTCTTTACTTATAGCAAATATAATTAAATGTTATATACATGATGTGATTTTGCTGTGCTCATTTCTCACTCTGGATAAACTCTTTTGCAAAAATGGGAAGGGCCATTTCGACATAGGTTACACTTTAGTCAAGAAATGCCTAATTCTTTCAAACAGTCTCTAAACACTATTTTAGTGTTATTGAATATATTTTTCATCCCAAACTATAAGAAGTGTATTTGGTATAAAGTGATACATGTATTCATGAAATATAATTACAAGGAAGACTAGCTTTCTATCAGAAAAAAATATCTAAAGTATTTTATTTTAAAGTTCAATATATGCTATTCTATTGATTTTTAAAATGCATGTTTTAACTTCAATTTTGAGATAAATTTTTGAGACTTACTTGAGTAAGATGATACTGTTTCTTCTTCAAATGGGTTTGCAGAGCCACAAATAGAAGAGTTTTGTCAGTGACTCTGTCCCAAAGGATTTTACTTACGAGGTTGATGTAAGGAAGAGCATGAGAAAAATTACAGTCCACGCCCCATAGGGATCCCAGGACCCCAGGGCAAGTTAAGGATCAATTAACAATATCTGGTTTTGAAGAGCCACAGATCTATAACTCTGCCTTTAGCATGGCATTATTGCCTTACATCCTCCCTTATGGAAGGCTAGCTATTCAAGAGAGTAAAGCACCCTCAACTAGGACTCATGGCATGCCACGATCCCCTTCTCCTGGACTTCCAGCTCCCCAGGAACATGGACACAGTTGTGTCCAGCCAGGATGTTTTCAGGACAACCAGGAATCTGGACTCTTGG